TTTCCCTGGAGCTGTTCCTTATTCAGGTAATGCCTAGTCTGGTGTTCTCCTTGTGTTCCAGGAAAAGTCCAACTGTGGGAGCTGTTCAGTTTTGTCTCATCTTGGGGAAAGATTTTCCACCAATTGTATCCCTAGGGCTTTCCAACGTGTGTAATGCTGAACTCCTCAGCAGCCACAGCTCCTGGTGCTCTAAGGAATGTTGTGTGTTTGGAGTAGGTTTTCAATGATAATCCCAGACTGGTTTGGGTTGGAAGGGACCTTCAAGATCACCTAGATCCAACCCCCTGCATGGGCAGGGACACCTCCCACCAGCCCAGGTTGCTCCAAGCCCCATCCAACCTGCCCTTCAACACTGCCAGGGATGGGGCAGCCACAGCTTCCCTGGGCAACCTGGGCCAGGGTCTCACCACCCTCACAGCAAAGAATTTCTTCCTCATGTCCAACCTAAATCTTCCTCTTCCAGTCTTAATCCCTTCCCTCTTGTTCTCTCCCTCCCTGCCCTTGTCCCAAGTCCCTCCCCAGCTTTCCTGGAGCCTCGAGTGTTAACACTGATGACCACAGGAATCCTGTGAGCAGTTGTGCTGCTTGTGATAGGAAATACTTGGTCAAAGTGCACAGCTTGAGGGCAGTTCTGCCATTTTTGCTGAAGTGTATCTGAAAAATGAGAATGCAGCTTGTGTGAGGAAATCCTACAGGATCTTTGGTGCTTCCCAACTGTTCTTTAAAAACGGTCGCTTTGCTATTTCATGCTTCCCACCACAGATGCAGCATTTCAGTGTTGTGTGGTTCTCCTGATAAAGAGGTTGACTAGTCTGTTCTACATTTTTGAAGAAGTTTTCCCTCTTCCCTGCCTTCCCTCTGCCTCCTTTCCCCCCAGACCATCACAGCCCTGAGCCCCATGTATGGCAGTCGCTTTGGCTACGCTCTCTCCAACGGGACGGTCGGTGTTTATGACAAGACATCTCGTTACTGGAGGATCAAGGTAAGTCTGAGCAAGGCTGAAGGCTCCCAGGGGGTTGGGTTCTTCATCTCAGCTTCTTCTGATGTTACCCAGACTCCTTAGATGAAGCTTTATACTGAACATGGCACTTAATGTATTTTTTTCTTACCAAATCTACCTTTTTACCTGTCTACCTATCTTACCAATCTCCTTTTTTGTAGATGTGTGCACAATTAATGCCACCTCAGTTTCTTCACTGCTCTGGGGACTATTGGTGGTGGCTTAAACACCAATTCAACCCTGCAACTGGGGGTGCTTCAGCTTCACAGGGACTCACTCTGGTCCAGCCTTTCTAGGTACCACTATAGTTTATATGAGGTGGCTCATCACCCTGTCAGGCTGAGACTTAAAACTGTCTAATGTGGGGGAATCCACCACTTCCCTTGGGAGACTATTCCAATGTTTGTCTGTCCTCATGGTGAAAAACTTGTGTCCCATTGGAATCTCCCCAGGAGCAACTTGTGCTCATAACCCCTTGTCTTTTCCATGGGACTCCTTTTAAATAGGGAGTCTCCATCTTCTTGGGAGCCACCCTTTAAGGACTGGAACATTGTAATAAGGTCTGCCTGAAGCCTTCTAACCATCTGCTTGGATGAAAGTGTATTTAAAGGGAAGATCAGGTCCTTTGGGAGCAGTGAGCTAGATTTGTAATACAAGGGTTAAGGATTTCAGATGTGAGTGACCATATAGATAGTGAGATTCAAACTTCCTGTTATGAGACACCTCCTTTCTGTGATCTCTGGAGCCTCATACTCTGTAGCCTCATACAGTGTCTTATATATATGTTTCAAGCTTTTGGAGTGTAGAAAACATAACCAGGCTCAATTTGTTCATTTTTCTTCTTTTCTGCCCTCAGTCTAAGAACCATGCCATGAGCATCCATGCATTTGACCTGAACTCTGATGGGGTGTGTGAGTTGATCACTGGCTGGTCCAATGGGAAGGTGAGTTGGAATCAGGGGCCAAATGAGGAGCTGTAAATCTGGCAGCTGTGTTTGGACAAGGCTGCTAAGCTGTCTGAAGGAGAACAGCCAAAAAAATTCCAAAGACTTGCTGAAAAAGGAATGCTGAGGAGCTATTGCAGTGAACCTTGTCAGGCTGGTGAGGCATGTGCCAGGTGCAGGATCAGGGGGAAGCTGCTCCCTCTGCTCAGCTCCCAGTCAGGTGCTCAGGTGTGGTCAGGGGTTTCCATGGAAGCAGAGGTCATATGCCACATCCCACAGCTTTCCTGTCCCTTCAGCTGTGCCCACATGCTAATACCCCTCCACGAGGTTTCCTGGATGTTCTCAGGCTACAGGGAAGACAAAGCAGAAGAACAGCCTCAGGATTAATCAAGCATTAGTTAATTTGATGTAAAAGCATTCCATGCAACTCAGACCTAGGCTTTTAAGCCTAGTGCTTGGTATTCCCCCTTTACCAGAAATGACTCTTTTACCTTCCAAATCTCTCCTGGACACAGTTTGCCAGCTTATATTTTGTCAAGCCATGCTTTTTTCTTCACATCTCTCATTACTCTCATTAGCCTGGGGAGATTTAATTAACTTCATATCAAACTGGCAGTCTAGAGCCCAGATATGTTGTAATTTATGTTGGATTAGGTGTTGTATAACATTATTAGAGAGAATCTCTCCTTGTTTTACTCTTTCTTTTTTTCCTGTTCTTTCCCAGTGGAGGTCTCTGCCCTGCTTGTTGGTCTGAAACAGTCCCTGCCTCCTAGACAGGGTGACACTGGGTCCTGAGCTTTGGGAGAGACACAGAACTGAGCCCCCCTCTCTGTTCTCCTCCAATGAAAGATAATTAAAGGTTGGGATATTTGTGTCTAGAAATAAATCACCATCCAGGGGCTGCAGCTAAGAGGAGAGACACTAAATACTGCCTGAAGGTTTCTCTAGTTTAGTCCCACCATCACACCTTCCCAGTGCAGGCCTGCAGTTCCCTCCTTTCCTTCCTTTGGTTTGTAGCTCTGGGAAGCATCTCAGAAGAGCAGTTCCTTTTAGCTGAGTCTGTCTAGAGGTCATTTCTTGGTAGCATTTTTGTCTTGTGTGGTGTTTGGATCAGCAGAGCTGCAAGTTCACCCGAGTTGGCTTTTGGTTAACAGCTCAGAGTACAGCCTGACATCTCTCTTGGAGTTGGCTTTCCTGCTCATGGTGTGTCTTTGGAACTCTTTGTTGTTCCAGGTTGATGCACGCAGTGACCGAACTGGGGAGGTCATCTTTAAGGACAACTTTGCTTCCTCAATTGCAGGAGTGGTGGAGGGGGATTACAGAATGGATGGGAGCACCCAGCTGATCTGCTGTTCCATTGATGGTGAAGGTGAGAGCCTTGCTCAGGGTATTAATTTCCTACACAACAATATCAGGCACATCACATCATCTCAGATGAGCTAAATGTTGTTTCTGTTCCATGGGCATTGCTGTGTGCCAGATTCCCTTTGCTTTATGTGAAGTTAAAGGAGTTTTGAGTTTATACTCTCTGCAAACAGGAGTTTGGATATTGTCTTCTCTGTGATCATCAGTTGTGTTTCATGGTGATCCAAGAAGCTGCCAAAATTCAGGTATGTAAGGGAAAAAGTGCCATCCTGATAATGCAAAGATAACTATATTACAGTACCTGAAGGGGCTCCAGGAAAGCTGAGGAGGGATTTTTGACAAGAGCTTGTAGTGAGAGAACAGGCTGAGAGAGTTGGGGGGGTTCAGCCTGGAGAAAAGAAGGCTCCAGGGAGACCTTAGAGCACCTTCCAGTGCCTGAAGGGGCTCCAGGAAAGCTGGGGAGGGACTTGGGACAAGGGCAGGGAGGGAGAGGACAAGGGGGAAGGGATTAAAACTGGAAGAGGGAGATTGAGGTGAGACATGAGGAGGAAATTGTTTGGTGTGAGGGTGGTGAGAGCCTGGCCCAGGTTGCCCAGAGAAGCTGTGGCTGCCCCATCCCTGGCAGTGTTGAAGGGCAGGCTGGATGGGGCTTGGAGCAACCTGGGCTGGTGGGAGGTGTCCCTGCCCATGCAGGGGGTTGGGACTAGATGATCTTTAGGGTACCTTCCAACCCAGACCATTCTATGATTGAATACAGACTGTGGCAACATTATTAGAGGTGAATGTCCAGGAAATAGTTTTTCCTGTCTGTGATAATTCTTTGGTTGTTTTGCATTGGGTATAGGAGCTTGGAGAGTTAGGGGAGTGTGGTTTGGTTTTCTTCTGAAGATGAATAATTTTGATATAAGAAACTTTAAATGTTAACAGGCCCTTTGTATCCTGGGACTGGAGAGCTGGTGGATTTCTTCTACTGTGCAGTCAAATCAGTCAGACCTGGTTACAATGAGTGGAAACAAATATGATTACTGATGATTTAAATAAGCTCAGGCCAGATTCCCAGGGATGGCTCCAGGAAAGACACTGGTGTGATTATCCCACTGCTTGGCGTCAGTGGCCTGAGCCAGGCAGGTCTGGAACATCCCATTTGGAACAAAAGCCTGTCCTGGTTAAATAACACAGTGTTCTGCTCTCTGTCTTAATGACTGACTGTGGGCATGTCCTGCTCTTGGGCTTCAGCATAGAAAGCTTTTTTTCCCAGGCTCACCAAAGGGGAGCACAGTGCAGAGTCATGAAGATACCTTGGCTTAGCAGGGCTGGGTAGGTTAAATCACTGAACATGATTGTGCTCTTTTGGTGGGCACCTTGTAAACAAACCTTGGGACAACAGGGATCACTTTAGGCTGGAGCCTTTAGGTATTCTTAAATAGTACTGGCCTTGTTTTTGGGGTTATATCAGAGTATCCTAGAATGGTTTGGGTTGGAAGGGACCTTCAAGATCATCCAGTCCCACCCCCCTGCATGGGCAGGGACACCTCCCACCAGCCCAGGTTGCTCCAAGCCCCATCCAACCTGCCCTTCAACACTGCCAGGGATGGGGCAGCCACAGCTTCCCTGGGCAACCTGGGCCAGGGTCTCACCACCCTCACAGGGAAGAATTTCCTCCTCATGTCTCACCTCAATCTTCCTCTACCAGTTTTACTCCATTCCCCTTTGTGCTCTCACTGTGGACAGTGCATCCTCACAGAGTCACTAGAGTTTTATTTAGGGCCAGCATCCTTTCACATGAGGTGTTTTTCTAGTCTTCAGTCTATTTGCTTTCTTGCTCTCATTTTAAAGGAATGGTTCACTCAGAATTAATAGCATGGGTCCCTTTGGTGGAGAACAGTCTACATGCTAAATCCTGGTCAAGTTCCCTGCTACTTTCTCCTGAGCTTACATGGGTAGCATATTCACAGATAGAAGATTTTTGTCCCTGTTTTTCCTTGTCAGCTGCACCCAGAACACACAGCCTGGGAGCAGAATCATCTTTGTCTCATCATCTGTTCATCTCTTCTGCCTCCACAGGCAGGTGGAGATTATTTCCATACCTCTATGCTCCACTGGGCTACTGGGAAACAGGTCTTACCCCTTGAAGTGAAGTATCCCTTGATTTAGGGAAAAATGTGGGTAAATCTTGTTTACTGGCTGATTAGCAGTGACTTAAGAGTCACCTTCAGACATCAGCAACTCCTCTGACCAGCTCTGGAAACCCAGGTCCACATTTTATTAATTTTGCATAATTGCAAACTTGCCTAAGCACCTGGAAGGATGATTGAAGTGGGAATCCTCTTGCAGAAGGACCAGGTGCTACACTTGTCTGGTCAGGTGAAGACAGCCTGAGGGCAGGCTGGAAAATCACCTTTTTTTTTTATTTGAATGTGCAATTCTCTTGTCCTAATCACCAAAAAAAGCCTCTGTGGGTATAAACCAATGCTCAGGTTTTCAGCTGAATAGTACCAGCTGAAGACCAGAATAAGTGTCTGCTGCTGAGGTGGTACAAGGGGTTTCTTGTGACAGAAACTTAAGATCTGGGAAGGCTGTGCAAGGTTTTGCTGAAATTGGGTGTGTTTTGTTTCTGTGCAGTCCGGGGTTACCTGCCAGGAGGTGAAGAGATGAAAGGCAACTTGATGGATACAAGTGCTGAGCAGGATCTGATCCGAGAACTTAGTCAAAAGAAACAAAATCTGCTGCTGGAATTAAGAAATTATGAGGAAAATGCCAAGGTACTACTTAAAACCATCTGTAAGGCCAAAACACACCTTTCTCTTGTGAGTAATCTGGGAAGTGGTTGTGAGGCAGTCCAGACAAGTCAGAGCTGAACCTGTTAGGTAGAGATTGTCTGCTGGGGATTCCTCCTTCTGCATCTACCTTGGTCCTTCTGCAAGTTCAGGACTTGCTGTTTGTATTTTAATAAGTAACATTTTCCTTGCTCCTTCTTCTTCTTGCCAGAACATTTGTGTTTGGAGCTGGATCCTCTTCAGCCCTGTGCTTTGTGACTGCAAATTGGAATTTTCACTGCATGAACCAACTTGGGGGATCAGAGAGGAGTGTTTTGAGAGGGTCAGGTGAATGGGAGCACTGCCAGGAGGAGCACTTGTGGCTTGGTGGTGAAGGTGCAGACATCAAGATCTTGAGGAAGTAGTAAATGAACACCATGGAATTATTTAAGCCTGTGCATATAAATGAATTACATGTTAAGGCCTTTTCTGAATAAAGGTTTGGGGACAGAGCTGACAGGAAAGAGCTTGAGCAAATTGTAGCACAGGTGGCTGCAGCTCTGTGCCTGATCCTTGCTCACAGCCACATGGAGTGTCTGGGAAGGGCTGTGATACAACCTTTTTCTGCAAGAAAAACAACAACTGACCTGTGTGTGTGTTTCCTAGGTTGCTTGAATGCAAAATCTTGCCATTCTGATACTGAGGGGGTGTGTGTTTTGCAACAGGCTGAACTGAACGCTCAGTTGAAGGAAGCTGATGGGCAGAGAGGTGTGATTCCAGCAAACACCCAACTCCAGACAGCCCTCTCAGTTAATCTGGGCTCTGACAGCCAGTCTGCCCACGTGGAGCTGTGCATTTCCACCACAAATGGTGAGTGGAACCATTGACATTCATTCCATGTAAATTCATGCAAACCTGGAGTTAAATTTAGCTGATGATTTGCCTGTCTCCCCTTTATTGTCTGTAATTTCCCCTTTGTGGTTGCTTCCCTTTCACAGAGTTTTGAATCAAACTGGGTTCCTTTGATGGGTTTCAGGGGAGGGGAGTTTGATGGAATTTGTTTCTTGTTATGTGTTATTTTCCAAAGCAATTAACATTGAACTTGGGTAAAATGAGGCTTGGTAATCCCTGCAACACTCCTGGTGTTGACTCTATAAACATGAACCTGTGGCTGTGGTAGTGAGGGTGTTGCATGAAGGCAGCTGGACCACAACTGGATTCATGTGGAACACTGGGACTACTCCAAAACCACCTAGCACCAGGCATGCTGAGAATGCACTGGGGTCCAAATGTGGTCCTGCTGGTCTTCTGGGACATTTTAAACAGTTCCCAGGAGGAGTGTAAAGAGTTGATTGTCCTTAATCCTACACATGGGGGTGGTTTCCTGCCAGTTCATTAAGGAACTGCTTTTTCCTCCTGTTGCTAAGACACAATCATCCGTGCTGTGCTGATCTTTGCTGAGGGCATCTTTGAAGGAGAGAGCCACGTGGTTCACCCCAGCATCCAGAACCTCTCTGGCTGTGTTCGTGTTCCCCTCACTCCACCCAAAGATGTCCCTGTGGATTTGCACATCAAAGCCTTCGTGGGTTACAGGAACAGGTGAGTTTTGTGTTGGTGATCTCTCCTGGTCTCCAAATCTTAACTGTAAGGCCAGGAAAGAGCACTGATGTGGCTTCCTGCTTGTCCCATGGGAAGTGTGCTGTTAATTCCCTGATGTCCCACCTCTCTGTGTTACTGGGAGGAGAGCTGGAATTCCTTCTTAACACTGGCACCCTGATGCTGAGCTCTTCTTCAGCCACAGCCCAAATGCTCTGGAGTCACTGGGACCTGCTGTGCTCCAGCCTTACCTGTAGGGGAACAGTAAGCACTCCTTGTCCCGGGAGTGCCTTCCTGTGGGGCTTTGGAGGGGAAGACAGGCTGTGTCCAAGCTGCCAGCTTCAAGTGGCTGCTTCTCCAGGCCCTGAATGGTTGGTGCTCTGGACCAAGTTCTTGAGCAAGCCTGGAGACACGGTGGTGACTGCCAAGCTATGGAGTAACCCTGGACCCGTTTGTCTTCAGGGCAACTAGAAAGTGATTTCAAGATTGATTTCAAGACAACACTTCTCCAGTTTCCCATAGAAAGAAAATGTCTCTTCATATATACTTGAAAAGAACTTTCTTCCTGCTCACATCTTCCAGAATCAACCTCCTTTCCCTCAACAAGGAGGCATAGATTCCAGCTGGCAGGAAGAACAAGATGGGGCTGAATTCCCTTTTGCTTTTCTCTGTTTGTTTCTATTACTGCTTTTAGTAAGACTTCACTGAACCTGTGAAGAAAAGATCTAATCACATAGTAAAATCCTAAGTCTGTTAGCCTAGAGAATACATTTTCATTGGAAGTATTATGGAAAATTTAAACAATTGGCATGTGGGAAGCCTGGAATTCACAATATCCACTGTGTTGTTTTCCCTGGGGAATAGTAAGCAGGTGATGACATAGCTGTAAGCTGCTGCTGTCAGCAACCAGCTGAAGGAGAACCAGAGGTGAATTCCTGGTGACTGGCTCTATTTTCCCTTTGGATGTTTTCCAGCACACAGTTCCATGTGTTTGAGTTGACAAGGCAACTCCCCCGTTTCTCCATGTATGCTCTGAGCAGCCCTGACTCGGCCACTGAGCCCCTGAGCTTTGTGAACTGCACAACAAATGAGAGGTCCCAGAGGGTGAGTTTCTGCTCTGCTGCCTGTTTCCCACCCCTGTGTGGGTGGAGGGTTTGGAATTAGCTGGAGATTTCCAATAGCTAAGGAAAAATTATGCAGTGAACTGCCCTGCTGGCTTTGGGAGTCTGTGTATTACAGCTTGACTTGGGGATTTATTTATTAGTTCCTTCTTTACAAGATGCCTCAATGGTGGCAATTCCCTGCTTCAGGAATTCCTGCAGGAGCTAATGGCCTGAGATCACGAGGCATTTCAGATACTATCTATGTGAGGGCTGCTGGAATGCCAGAGGCAGGAGCCCTGTAGTGAGTGAGGAATTTTGGAAATGAGCAGAGAGCAGGAAAAAGGCAGCCCAGTGCCTGGATAGCAGCTCAGGTTTCCCAGCAGATGAGCAGCAGTGCTGTGGTTTTGGTTCTAGCAGATCTGAATGGTGGGGCAGTAGTTAGAGCTGATCATTTCCCTCCCAACTCTAGGGCTCTGCCAGATTTACATGTTTACTGCATTAAATGGCCAAGGTAAAAACCAAAATGAAACAAAAAGTTCCCTGTAGCTTGGAGCAGAACTGAGCTTTGCTTCCCAGCTCTCTCTGGTCTCCAGGCTTTTCACCTTGGGCTGTGCTCTCTGGCTGATTTCTGGATTTGATTTCCTTAGGAATATTCATTTTTGGAGCAAAGAGTCAACTGTCCTTATTTTACCAAGTTTGTGACATGGGTTTAGGGGATGAAATGTAGGAAATGAAATTCCCAGGGGAGCCTGAACAGAGGACCCTGGTGCACATCACACGCAGGGACACCTGGTGGTTCTCCAGGCTTCCCACCCAGGTGATGACTGATGTTCTTCCTTTGTTTTTTTTGTTTGCAAGATTGTTATGTGGCTGAACCAGAGCTTCCTGCTACCAGAGGATGTGGAGTTTCAGAGTGCTTCCTTTCAGGTCTGCTTCACTTCCCTTCGGAATGCAGGGCAGCTCTGCATCAAAATCAAGCCTGGAGGAGAGGTGAGTACCTTGCTGGCCAAGGGGAACACCCCTTCAGTTTGACTGCAGTGAAACTTCAGGGTGGTGCCAATGTGGGGCAGGAAAGATGAAGGACAACTGAATGGGCAGAGAAAGACATCATGTTTTCAGGAGGTTTTTGGAAACTTCTGGGTCTCTTTACTCTTAGTGGGTAAAATTTCAGGCCTGTTGATGAAGAAAACTGCTTAGCCTGTAGATCTCCAGGAAGGTTTTTGTTCCCAGACTGAGTGGTTTTAGTTGTAACTGTAACTTTTGCACTGGTCCTGTGTGCTCAGATGCCTCTTTGTCTCAGGGCTTAATAAAAGCCCCTTGAAATCAGTGTCTCCTTATCTACTGAAAGCCAGAGAGCTTGCTCAAGCCACAGGAAGCTCCTGGGGAGAGCCCAGAGGAGGCCACAGAGATGATGGAAGGGCTGCAGCAGCTCTGCTCTGGAGCCAGGCTGGGAGAGTTGGGGTGTTCAGCCTGGAGAAGAGAAGGCTCCAGGAAGACCTTAGAGCACCTTCCAGTGCCTGAAGGGGCTCCAGGAAAGCTGGGGAGGGACTTGGGACAAGGGCAGGGAGGGAGAGGACAAGGGGGAAGGGATTAAAGCTGGAAGAGGGAGATTGAGGTGAGACATGAGGAGGAAATTGTTTGGTGTGAGGGTGGTGAGAGCCTGGCCCGGGTTGCCCAGGGAAGCTGTGGCTGCCCCATCCCTGGCAGTGTTGAAGGGCAGGTTGGATGGGGCTTGGAGCAGCCTGGGCTGGTGGGAGATGTCCCTGCCCATGCAGGGGGTTGGATCTAGATGATCTTTAAGGTCCTTTCCAACCCAAACCAGTCTGGGATTCTATGATTTGGATAGAATGAAGTGCTTTGAGCCTGGGTCACTGCTGGAGAGGCAGTCCTGCTGGGCACTTCTGGGACATGTCTGGGCATGGAAGAGCACTGACGTGCTTTCTCTCCTTCCTGACAGATTTCCATCCACACGGATGATATTGATCTGGCTGGTGACATTATCCAGTCAATGGCCTCCTTTCTGGCCATCGAGGATTTGCAGGTGGAAGCAGATTTCCCAGTGTACTTTGAGGAGCTGCGGACGGCGTTGGTCAAGGTGAGGAGGAGGCATCAGGCCTGTCTGAAGTGGCAGCTGAGCAGTCACTGGGGGCTCTGCTATGAGAAGATCTCTACCTTCCTTTAACTTCCTGGAAATCAGCCAGCCATGGCTTGTTGTATGTTCTGCCTAAAAGACAATGGGACACCCTCAGCTCTTTGGTCTGTGGAACAGGCTCTTCATCCCCAGCAGCTGATTGTTCAGAATCATGAGGAGTGGATGGGGGAGCTGGGACTATTTAGTCTGGAGAAAAGGAGGCTGAAGGGAGGACCTTATGGTGCTCTCTACACCTCCCTGAGAGGAGGCTGTAGAGAGGCAAGTGCTGGTGTCTTCTCACAAGTAACAAGATGAGAGGAAATGGCCTCAAGTAGCACTAGGGGAGGTTTAGGCTGGATATTAGGAAAAATTTCTTCACATAAAGGATTGTTATGCCCTGGCCCAGGCTGCCCAGGGCAGTGGTGGTGTCACTATCCCTGGAGGGATTTTGAAGTCATGCTGATGTGGTGCTGAGGGACATGGGTGAGTGGTGGCCTTGGCAGGGCTGGGTTAATGATTGGACTTGATGATCTTAAAGGTCTTTTCCAACCAGAAGGATTTTATGATTCTAAAGTAAATATGTTGTCTGGGAGGCTGAGCTGAAGATTTGGATCAGGGAGTTTGGTCTGAAGCTCAGCCTGATCATCCCCTTCAGGGCACCAGGGACCGCTCCAGCAGCCAGGGCATGAGAACAGCCCTAGGGGTGCTCATAACTTGTTGGAATGTTACTTCCTAGCCACTGGCTTTAGCTTAAACCAATCACCTGTGTGCCTAGAGTGCCAGGGGCCCTTCCTGATGCCAGTTTGCCTTGGGCAGGTGAACGAGCACCACGCAGTGAACCAGAAGCTCAGTGCTGACATGGCCGAGCGCTCCGTCCTGATCCGCAGCGCGCTGGTGCAGGCCGAGGATGCACGGCTCCTGGGAGACATGTGAGCAGCTGCTGCTGGGCTTCTGGGCTTGGGCTTGAGATGGGCCACTCCTGGCTTTTTTTTTTTTCAGGCAGAGAAGGGCACCAAAAAAACATTGGGGTGGCACAGGGGTTGCCTAATGGCAGATCTCGGTGGAGGATTCGTACCTTTGCTGGTCGCAGTGTGAGCCCGCATGGGGCTTGGTCTTGTTCTTCAGGTGGCAAAGCAGTCTGGGGAAGACAAAAGGGCAGAGGTGTGGAGGCTTAGTGTGGGGTAGGTGGGGTGAATCAGCCTCAAGGTGTGTCCAATTCTAGAACCCCTGACATAAGAAGGATGTGGAGCTCCTGGAGAGAGTCCAGAGGAGGCCACAGAGATGATGTGAGGGCTGGAGCAGCTCTGCTCTGGAGACAGGCTGGGAGAGTTGGGGTGTTCAGCCTGGAGAAGAGAAGGCTCCAGGGAGACCTTAGAGCACCTTCCAGTGCCTGAAGGGGCTCCAGGAAAGCTGGGGAAGGACTTGGGACAAGGACAGGGAGGGAGAGGACAAAGGGGAAGGGATTAAAACTGGAAGAGGGGTGATTTAGGTGAGACATGAGGAGGAAATAGTTTGGTGTGAGGGTGGTGAGAGCCTGGCCCAGGTTGCCCAGAGAAGCTGTGGCTGCCCCATCCCTGGCAGTGTTGAAGGGCAGGTTGGATGGGGCTTGGAGCAGCCTGGGCTGGTGGGAGGTGTCCCTGCCCATGCAGGGGGTTGGATCTAGATGATCTTGAAGGTCTTTTCCAACCCAAACCAGTCTGGGATTCTATGATAATTTACAAAGGTACAATAAGGGAAAATGGCAATAAAAGCTGTCTGTGATGTGTGAACTTTTGAGAACACCAAGAAAGTCTGTGTGTCAGTCCTTTCACTCTGACTTGCTGTGTTCTCCTGCTGATGTCCTGCCTGTACTTTCAAGAGCAGCAGCAAGGAGGTCTGAGCTAGTGCAGGGCAGGGTTAATGCCACAAAGTGACATCTCCTTGTTGAGTTGCTGAGTAAAATAACTTCAAAAATGGTCCTTGACCTTTATACTGACAAACCAGGAATGACTTTCTGCTCCAGGGATGCAAATAACTGGATTGTTTGTTCCCCCAGGAAGAACATGAAGACCCGGTACAGTGAGCTCTATGATCTCAACAGAGACCTCATCAATCAGTACAAAATTCGTTGCAACAATCACACAGAGCTGCTGAATAATCTGAAAGCTGTGAATCAGGCCATCCAGAGGGCTGGGAGGTTAAGGGGTAAGTCTGGGTGTTGGGAGGGGACAGGGAGTCTTGGACCCCACTGAGGTAGAGAAGATGTGTCTTGGAGGCCACCTGGGTTAGTGAAATGACTTGAGGAATTTTGGGGCCTGAAGCTAAATGAGTAGAAATCACCTTTCATTTGTCAGCCAAGTGACAGTGAACTGGGAGTGCCCTGTATGGTCTGGGATCACAGCTTTTTAGGAAAGGACAGTTCTAAGCAGTGGTAAATAAGCTGCTAATTTTGTTGAACACCATTTAGAAAATGTGTTTAAAGCAGAGTTTGAGATCTTCATTTATAATTCTGCTTTTTTTAAAAAAAAAAGCCATCAACTTAAGAAAGGCTGTTTATATTATTAGTTCTGGAGGTCTTAGAGGAAGGAGGTGGTTTTTGTGTGTTTGTAGCATTTCCCTTTCAATAAGTCCTTTAAGCTCTGCCATAGTAGACAAGCAACAGTGAGACCCACTGAGAGGACAAGGGGGAAGGGATTAAAACTGGAAGAGGGAGATTGAGGTTGGACATGAGGAGGAAATTGTTTGGTGTGAGGGTGGTGAGAGCCTGGCCCAGGTTGCCCAGGGAAGCTGTGGCTGCCCCATCCCTGGCAGTGTTGAAGGGCAGGTTGGATGGGGCTTGGAGCAACCTGGGCTGGTGGGAGGTGTCCCTGCCCATGCAGGGGGTTGGATCTAGATGATCTTGAAGGTCCCTTCCAACCCAAACCAGTCCATGATTCTATTATAATAGTGCTACAAAAAACTCTTCAAAGAAAAGATTTTATTCACATATTAGTAAAAATGTGACATTTCAGTGTATGTTAAAAATATTTTTTAAAAACCTCTTAAATTTCAGACCAGACCCAATAGGCATTTTTATCAGTTTCTTACTCAGTAACTGAAGTGATTTTAATTTCTTCCCTATTTTTCCCCTCTCCAGTTGGCAAACCCAAAACCCAAGTGATCAGTGCTTGTCGGGACGCGATCAGAAGCAACAACTTCAACATGCTCTTCAGGATCATGTGTGTGGGAACTGCCTCTTCTTAAAACAGCAGGAGGAGCAGCAGTTGCACAGGGGCAGTGTTTCCACAGCCCCTTACCCTCCTGTGGGGTGAAATAATTGCAGAGGTAGCATATTTAGTGAAGCCATCAGGCAAGAAGTGTTGTTATGCAGACCAAAGAAGAGTAAGCTTTGTGAAGAAAGCATCAGAGTTTAAGTGCAGATATTTATGCAAGACAGAGGTATAACCTTGGAACAGTTATTTTTCTTACAGTAACTTATTTATGTATTTTAATATATTTTGTAGCTAAGGCCTTTTCCATTAAATCATAGACTGGTTTGACTGCTGTTGGTCTGATTTAGCTGAGGAGATGTCTGGTGAAGCTGATTTGTTGAAAAACAAACCAAATCCAAACCACTTTTCTGGTTTTTGCTGAATAGTCTCTTGTGCAGACCAAGCACTTCAACTCCCTGTGTCAGGGAACCCTGGGTTTCCTTGCAGGATGTGCTGCTTTCTGGGTGCACTGCAACTCAGTGCACTTAGGAGCACCAAAGGGATAACATCTTCTTGCTCCTTTGAAGCCAGAAGATCTGTGGAAGCCACCCAGTTCCACCATCCACACAGGGAGGAAGTGGTCTGTTCCATATCTAACATTCTCCCCACACCTGGATTGCAGGAAGTTTTGCTTCCAGCTCCTGGTTCCCTGTTGCTGCTGGAAAAAGAAAACCAACCTGCAGATGCTGGGGTGGGCAAGGGTGCATTTCAGGAACAGCAAAACCAAACTACACACCCAAGCTTGTGCTTGCTCACCAAGAGCTTAAAGGGATCAAAAGAAAAGAGGTACTGAAAAATCTCTTGGCTCCTGGCTTAAACCTGTTTATTCATTGCGGGATGTCTTAGAATTGGATTAAAATACAACAGGAAGGCTGGATCTTAGATCTGAAGGTGTTTTAGAACTGCTGCCAAAGCAAATTTATTCTACAAGCTAAAAATACCTTGCAGAGGACAGAGGGTGGGCCTCAGTGCTCCTTGCATCTCCCAGTGTGTGGCTCAGTGAATGCTGTGTGGGTGGGGAGGAGACAGCCCAGCCCACCCTTGTGAAGTTCTTGGGTAGCTTCTTGGAGCTCCTTGTGTCCTGCAACTGGGCTGTCTGTCCTTGCTCCCCCTGAATGAAAGCCAGAAGCCCAGTGTTGGTTCCAGAGCAGCTGGGGAGTGTGCAGCCCTCTGAATGGGGGATGTCATTCCTG